TCATTTCAACTGCTATTTTATATTACTACTCTCTATATCTGAAAAATTTCAATGTAGGTAGAAAGACAATCTTCTGATTTATCCAGGCTCCCACATTCCATGTCGTTTAGTTTTTTTTTGTATTTCGTTCGATTCCTCAGTATCACCCCAAAAAATTGTCTCCACAAACAAGCTGATAATATCAGCTTTCGTTAATTATATTGTTCATTGATAGTCTATTATAATCAGGATTATATTTTAAGAGATTTATTCTATTCGGGAATAAACATTTGTAGTATTATTTGGTCTGATGTTTGGTGATACAAAATACATCAAAGTTTTGGTGCAGAAAAAAGTAATTTTCAATATATTCGTACTGAGGTCTACTATCAAAAAGATGCTTAAGTCAGTTGGTTGAATTCAATAATCAAATCTGAACAAGCTGAAACTCTTTTGATACAATACATAAAATAAAAATATAATAACTGATCGTTATCTTTACATGGAAAATATTTGAGAAAAACTGTTATTGAAATCAGGAAAAAGAACAATGTTTTTAGAATGTTTGTCTTCAGATTTGTACACACTAAACTAAAAAAAAAACAGTTCATTAGATTCGGAACCAGTTTTTACTGATGTATTGTAGGGTGTTATAATTGACATTTATCGTCTGATTCATTTCAATCCGATCATGAATGAAACAGTAATGTCAATTTTTTCTTCCAACATTTGTTGGAAGAAAAAACTATAAGAATACAGTTCAGTCGATTTGGCTAAAACTGGGAGTATATTCCATACGAAGTCAATCTGAGTAGCTAAATAAAAGACTAATGTACCGGATCTGAGAAGTTTACTAGTTAATACCATTGAAAACCTCCCACATAAAAATAATGACTAGACATCGTAAATAATACCACGCCGCCCATGCCATGTAAAGAAACTGCCGACGTTCGGTAACTATTTAGTTTTTATTTCTTTCGAATTGACTTCGTATCATCATGAATCAACGACAGGTAAATAATGAAAAACATTTTTTACTGAAAAATCTGGAAACCCTATAACTGAAGTGGCGGGCAACAGCTGGTGGACAAATATATTACCATTCAATAGTTTCGAGAATAACATGGTGTTTTCTCTCACTATCATCCCGTAGTTGCGTGGGATGGAAATTTATATATTATTTCATAAAAACACATTTTCGAAAGACAAATTGTTATAATATATACATCTTTCGGGCAAGTTCAACATTTACATTCCGCTAACACATACCAGCGAAACTGAATTCATTAGTTTATTTTCTTAAAATTAATCAGAGGAACCAATATGCAAACGAGTGATTTACCGTGTTTACACGTTCACCAAATCGGTTGGTAAGTTCTATGCAAATCTTGACGAGCGAGCGCCATGTAATACACTTTAACACTTGATCAAAATAGTTATTTTCAGTAAAGCAAACAATCAATATGTGTATCGTATGTTTGAAAGTGCTCAATGAAAGTACATATACACGATTCTAATTTTAGTGGTTTTAATTGAAATTGGAGCTTTGCATGTTTACGCCCGACACAGAGATATCATTTTCAGTTCAATCATCAAAGGGGTCTTTTTTAAAAATTGATTACATTTTTTCAATGTAACCACTATTGGATATATTCAGAGTTTCCGCACTTTTCTGGTTATTCAAAATATTTATGACAATAAATTGTTGGATTTAGTCATTACTACGTGGCAGGATATCATCATGGAAAATGAAGGTTTAGGACGAAACTGCAGTAACGTTAGTTACATATAAAGGTGGTAAAAACACAGAAAGTTTCAATTCTAATTTCTCATGGAAATTTATACCTTCAACCGCTCTTAAGATGAGATTCTCATCCAACGCTTTCAGTGCTGTAGTATCGAAGGATTCGACGGTACTACTGGCATCGGATTAGTTATAATAAATGGACGGGAATTGATATTGTGTTTAGATTATTGTTTTCAGTTTTTGGTGATTATAAGTGATTTACCACAAAATATTCTGTAATAATCTTAAATTTCGTTTTTATGTGAGCGCAAATTTATGGTAAAAGAACGAAATTGGCTCATCACTTCGTTTCGAGTTCACCGATAACTTTGTGAATTTATGAATGAAACTAGTAGAAGTGGACTTACTGATCGATTTTTACTATGTTGAAACTGTACCCACAATCTCTAACGTCAAGTGAAGGGGATGACATCTCTCCTTCCGAAGATGCCATCTGTATGACTGACAGAGGACGTAAACTTCGAAAATCAATGATATATGAGGTTTTATAGCTATTTTCAATATGGTTTCCGAAAGCAAAGTTCAATAGGCGACTTTCATAGATAATATGTAACCCAACAACGAAATAATGCAACCAAGAGCTTCGAAGACTCTCGGGACATTTGAAATTTTCAAGGTCTTCGACCGTGGTCATCAGAGACGACTAAGTGAAGTTTAAAATCACGGCTTGTTGTCTTTGTTCGTAGCTCTCCAGCTTTCTTGAAGAACTTGTGTAGAATACACCAATAGTTATTTTTTTTTGGTGTAGAACCTCCACAATTTTAAAAAATGAACAAAGCTGAATCAATGTAATAATGAGCAAACTGAAAAGTTCACCCGGAAAAGTTATTGGGTAATATAAACTATTGAAAAGTCAAATTAGTCATTAACTTATCTACGAAGTGAATAATCAATTGGAAAAATAATGGAATTTCTGGGAAAAAAAATTTTTGGCTTTCTTCTACTCCATCTTGATACAATAAAAGTGGAAATCTTAAGAAGAAAGGAATCAAGCAATAGATTTAAAAAAAAAGTAATTCAATACATAGATGATGTGTAGATCATGTGAAGTAGTAGATGGTCGATGATTCAGAAGATGATCCTTTTCTGTTTTCAAAACCCAAAATTCTCTTGAAAACTTTCGCCTCAATTGTAAACAGTTTTCTTCGACATAAGACAAAAAAATGGGATAGTCAGATGTGATAGTCTATCTACATTTCTCTATGAATGTAGCAATGGCTACCAGGTACGATCTATTTTCGAAGAGCTATTTGAAATACATTTGTTACCTTCTGAAAGAATATTGTATGCGGACTATTTAAGTTTTTTCATTTTTTTCATTACGTTCCTTAGTGACAATTTTTGTTTCACTTTACTTTCGGCGTGATCAATAGATGATTCTAGAATACGGTCCTCTATCTTCGATTCTGTTATCTGTCTTTTTTTGTATGTTCACCAATCTATGTGTCTTGAGGTTTCACCAATATAACTTTTTTCACTGAAACAAGGTATATTTCAAATACCCTCTTCCGTTTTCTAACCGTATTTTTGGGTTAAGTTTGTGTCACTATGCTAGTAGGTCCGAAAACTCTTCTTACATCATATCTGTAACAGATCTGTCTCAATTTTTCAGACAAACCGAGAACATAAGGTAGGACGTTAGTTTTGAGTTATGTGTGTTGTTGATGGGTTTGTGATGATTGTGGAATCTGTATATGTTGTTGATCAGCAACTTCATTGAGAACTCTTCCCACTTACCGTTCCGAATACCTACGCATTTTTGTATTCATTCAACTCACATACTTCACAACTAACGTCATAGCAGTAAACAAATCGGTTACAAATATGACAACAACTTTGAGAACTATCAACACATTGAGATCCCTTTTGACGTTAATTTTGAGATATGTGTGTTATTGTCGGGTTTGTGATGATTGTAGAATCTATATATGTTGTTGATTACTTTCACCAACTTCTTTGAGAGCTGTTCTCACTTACTGTTCCGGATAGGTGTTTTCGTACACATTCAACTCACATACTTCAAACTAACGTCATACCTGTAACCAAATCGGTTACAAATATAAAAAAACAACAACTTTGACAACTACCTACACATTGAGATTCCTTTTGACACAAGCTAAACTCGAAAGAGTGGATTTAAAGTATATATTGTTCCTGTGGAAAAAAATACTTGTATAAATTAAACCCCAATACCTCTAGATGTGAGAAAAAATGAACATCGTGAATTTAGAGAGAAGACAGATAACAAAATCGGGGATAGCGGGGCATATCTTCAATCATACCGTCCTATCGAATGAAAGAAAAAAGAAATCGTCATCAAGGAACATAATTGAAAAAACTCAAAAAACCTGCATATATTCTTTTAACAGGTAACTCATGTATTCCAAATGTAAATGGATCGTACTTGACTGCCATTGCTAAGGCAACAGGTTGAAAATGGAAATATGAATCTGAAATTAATTCTCAGAAAATATCTTGTATATATATTCATGTAGACTATTACTCATGACATCTGGGAATTTTATTTTCTGTCATGTGTAACTTTTTAATACTCAAGCGAAAGTTTTCGAGTAAATTATGAATACAAAATAGAATTATTGTTTCAAACGTCGATTAAAGAAAGCTAGGTATACAAATTTCATATTTTATTTTTCAATTGATTATTCAATTCGTAGGCAAAATAATTGAATACCCAAAAAAATGATATAACCCCCACAAGTGATTGATAGAATTCACTGCCAGATTTTTTCCACAGAGGAAGTAAACTAATAAATCCGGTGAAAGCTCAACAGAAAAAACCTCTAAAAGACAAAAAGGCTTCGAATCTCTCATATCTTTCGGAAATTTCGAAAATTACCTAATGCAGATGAAATTTATGTGGGTTGAAGAATTGCATTCAGTAAAAACTTTTTCAATAACTCTTTTGATATTTTGATAAATAACTATTTTAGAATTTTTATAAATAAACAACAATGATATTTTATAGATAATGTAAATAACGTGACTGGAATTTTTTTGGTCATTTTTGATATTGATTTAGGCAGAAATTGAGGTCATAGGAAATTTTGGATCAATAAAAACATCCCATATGGAGCTGATTCTATTTATCATACTCAATATACTTTGGTAAAAATGAATCGAAATTGAAATAGAATATTCCAGTCAATAGTCCAATTAGAAATGAAACTTTTCTCCAAAAAAAAATTGTACTTACCCTACTGCACCATTCGCCAAAATTTGTGTTTCCCTTTCCAAAACCTCCTGGACATTTTGTGCTGAATATAAACCAATTGGAGAATTGAACTGTTTGTTGACCAGTCTTGGGTGAGTCGCCATGTTAAGTTTCGAATATAAACTAGCTGAAACAAAAATCATTCATTAACTATTTATCGATATTCGAAATAATAGGATTTATAATCAACAATGGCCCAAGTTTTCACCAATCACGAATCATATGATGGACCGGTATACTTCACTAAAGTAAGCTCTGAAAATGATCTAGCGAAGTAATCGTTTTCGACATCAATTATTGAGTCTTTCACAGATTCATAAATACCGATTACTCATTTTCCACGAGTTTTTTCGTCACAGTTTTCCCTTATGGAATTTTTTCGGAAATTATGAGTGAGGTATCCTCTACGTACATAGAGACCTATGAATAGCAAAGGGCTGAGTAGTGACCCTTGTGTGACACTTAAGTCGATTTTTAAGTACCCAGATGACTCGTTTTTAATTTAGACATACTGCCATCTGTCACAAAGGTATGACCGTATCCAATCCAGAGGTGTGCCTCTAACACCATAGTGGTGGAGTTTACCCAAAAAAATTTTGTGATTTATACAGTCAAATGCCAGGACATTCGCCTGCCTCAATATTATCCACTAATTTGTGATAGTAGGAGTAGGTAGCAGTGGTTATCGATTTCTTACAGACATTACAATCCCATGTTGGAATTGTAATGTCTGTATAGCTCGGTTTTCTGAATACATTGAACTCAAATTTATCAAGATCATATGTAATGGTCAGGTCTAAGCAATTAATCTGTTTGTCTACCTCTGTTTCGAGTGTGAACTGTATATTTCTATTGATATTATTCATAAATGTCATAAATTGGTTCAGCTCTTAATGATTGTTAATATTCATTTGGCTGATGTTTCAGATATTTTCACGAAAGGTAGTAGATGTTGAATGGGTGGATCATTGGGAAATCAAAAATAAACCGAGGCTGACCTTTACGTATCGCAGGTCTGGATGTTTTGATAAAATTAAGATTCAATAATGATACCTTGGCTAGGCACGTGGAATTTATTTGAATCAGAGGATTTGATGAAAAGCGACTCTATTTATAAGATAATTCTCTTGGCCACCTTTTAATAGATTACCTTGTGGTGGCGACATCGAGATATTCATTAGGCAGTGAAATACCTCATTTTTTATGATGAAAAACTGTACTATATTCAACTGTTTCGATAGATTTATAAATCTGACCGGTACTGACTTTACGTGAATTGAATCTCGATTATTAGAAAGAAGGCTCAATTATAATATCAAACCAAATAATAATTTTGCAAGATTAGAATTTTTAGTAAATTGATGGATGTAGCCGTTACTACGTGGTAGGAAATCATAATGAAAAATGAATTGAAAATTTCTATGTTTTTTACCACTTTTATTTGCAACTAACGTTACTGCAGTTTCGTCCTTTACGGACATTTTCAAATTTATACAATAATCTGTCCGTAAAATGTCCGTATAGGACGAAACTGCAGTAACGTTAGTTTCAAATAAAAGTGGTAGAAAACAGAAATTTCCATTTCTCTTTTTATTAGAATGAATAGTGTTTGAAACAGGGTTGGCTCTGAGAAACACTTCGAATTCAAATGAACATGTGGCTGCGAATATACCGAAGTCTGACCCTGTTGATCAAACTCACTTCAATATTAGTAATAATAATGATACTTTTCATTTACTAAACATAATGTACAAATGTATATCATGAAGACATTTTGCAAGTAAATATAGGAACCCACAGAAGGACAGGCCTATGCGTGGGAAAGGTAAAGTTTACATTTGAGCCTATAAACATACATATATGGTGTAATATTAAGGATTATAACATACATACTCATATAGATGATTATTAATAGAATATACACATAAAGTGTGATATCAGAGAATAGAAAACGTATGAAATTATTTACAGATGATTATTAAATGATCTAAGGGAATATTTTTCATTCAATTTTCTAAAGGGTAATATATATTATTTATGCCAACATATTGATGAATCTAAATTCTTGGCAGTTTCAATATCTATATTTTCAATAGGCGTTTAAATGAATGAATGTTGAAATTATTTTTGATTTTGGATGGAATGATATAAAGTCTAGGAGCTAAATAAGTGGAAACTCTTTGGAGAGTATTTTTTTAAGAATTTATTATATAATAATACTTAGTATTTGTTTTTACTGCGTGTTGAGTAGTTGTGGTCAATTTGTTCAACTTCTCAACTGTGGATATGTTGCTTGGTGGTTGTTTTGAAGAAATATAGTCATCGAATATGGAAAATCATCGTTTCTTTGAATAAAGTGTCAGTTCAATATGTTATTTTTTGATATAATATTTTTAAAGTCAGTTTTTAAATCTATTCTGATAGATTTATACGGCTTGTGTTTGCAGCCCCCCAGGAAAATACTCCATAGAAAAATATGGGTTTCAAAGAGCGCACATTGCAGCATGTACATATAATTTATTCATAGGTATGGTCTTGTATTTCTCAATTTAGTTGTTTTTTTGTGCAATAGGCGATATAGAACTGTCCCATTTCAAATGGGGACCTAAATATAGTTTTCACTCTGGTTAGATATTTTAGGTGATGTACATTCTGGTAGATATAGGAAGTGATGGACATGTAACAAGTTTTTGTCATATTTATTCTCAAAAGTCTACTTTCAAGCCACTGCGAAATCATTTGAAAGTTATTTTCTGTTTTCTATTTGAGATATTCCCATATTCCCGACACAACAGTGTCGTCTGCAAAACTCATTACATCACCCCGAATATCTAAATTGAAAAGTTCATTCGAATAAATATTGAATAGAAGTGGCCCCAATACAGTGCCTGAAGAAATGAACAGTGCAAAATCAGTCAAACAAAAAGCCAATAATAATGACGTTATTTTTACGAAAGTATGTGAACATCGAACTGTCATTAAGGTAGTTAAAAAAGAATAGGTACACAAAACTGTAGATTTCCTTAATTTAGAAATGTCAAACATTTTGAGTGATAATCCTACATCTTCGTACTAGACATAGGTTGAATACATTCTAAATTTGTTAGAGTTGGTTATGAATGAAAGCGATAAATGCATGGCATAGATCATGAAACCGCAACCACCTGAACTCAATTTACTCACCTAATTACATAAAACCAATTTTCCGATTAGACTTGTGGTCTTGTTTGTAGTGGCTCAATCCGTAAAGATTTCAAAAATGCTTTCACAATCAATTCGAACTGCTATGCAATATTGGTTTCAAAAACGGTTACAAGGTAGATATTATCGATTCAAATCTATCTAAAAACTTCGAAAACGAACTATGATCCATGTCTATCCAACTTCAAGAATCGAATAGTGAACGTCATATGACTTTAACATACTTTGGCGGAAGAGAAGACTTGAAATAAAGAAAAAAACTTGGACTTAGACCTTACAAAATGAGTAAAAATTTGAAATTTTTGCTCAAAAATTCATACTGGTCAAACGGCGAGAACCTCTCTCTAAAGAATAAAACAGAATAGGAGTAGTTTCTTGAAGACTAATTCTACATTGGTGAACCATATTTTGGCAAAGTGGCAAGAGTTCAACAATGACTGTTATGTGTTACATTCGGAAGAGAAAGGTTCAAAATTCATTCTTTTGGAATGTATGAAAACCAAATGATTCAAGAATTCAGAACATCTACTGGATGATCAATTGAAATTGACCAATTCCCCTCTATTCAATCCGTTCTGAGATGTTGAAAATGGTAATTAGTTGATACATTAACATTTGTGATCTTTGCTTATGTTCTCAATTGAATGAATCAGAGAATCATGCAAATCAGAGGAATCATGCTAATTACGGATATGCAGCTGGTTAGCACCTCGTCCACTGGATGGAGTGACATTTTGTTGTTTCGCTCCAACTTAGGAACAGGAATGAAATACTCTGAAGCAATTCCGATTTTCAATTATGGAATATCATTGACTTTAGGTCGATGATGGTCACTATCTTGCACTGATGAGTGGCCAACGCCCTTCGTGGTGTTAACTAGGGGAGTAGTTGTTTTCTGATAGGCGTCAGTCCATTTTACCTACTGTGTAGGTATATTCGAGACTGGCTTGAACCTTTGAAGTTCATTTCTTTAGAGCTATTGTATTTGTCTCTTAATGTTCAAATTCATAATTAGTTTATAGCTAAATTCAGAATAAATTATCATTCATTGATTAGGTGGAGAGTTGAATTATTCAAATTGTTTGTTTACATAAAACACTAATTGGGTATATTTCAGTTAGTATGAACACGCCTTAGAAAGCTATTGTATAGTGAAACACGTGTTGTGGTTTTCTGAACTTTCTAGTGAACATTTTGCAATGAAGTGTTACTTGAATATATTCACACTGTATTCCACTATTTAATAATGGTACACTCTTCTCGAACATATGTTCACAGTTTCAGCTGTTTGGCATGTTTCCTTTAATGGTGAGGGCATAAAAATTAGAAGTGTTGTGCGTGTTCGCCGATTTTTTGCTATTGAAAAAAAATTGAAAAGTGTGTACAAATTTTCGTGTGAAAAACACTGGAAATGTTGACAGTGGCATACCGTGATTGTACACTGAGTCCAAAAATGTTCACAAGTGATACAAACCTTTCACAGAAGGTCGAGAAGATGTGAATGACGACGCTCGCTCTGGACACCCCAGCACATCAATTAGTTGATTGGCAGCAAAGTTCGTTCCAAAATTGCTGAAATTTGATCAAAAAACCGTCGCATGAGCATCACTCAGGATTTGTTAGATGACGTCAACGGCGATCCATATTTGCTTTAAAGGGTCATAATTAGTGGCGAATCATGGGGATATGGTTATGACATCGACACGAAAGTCGACTCGTACCAATGGGAGAGCTCAAGAGAGCCAAAACCAAAATAAGCACACCAGGTTCGATCGGATTTCAAGGTTTTGCTCACTGTTCTCTTCGATTACTGTGAGGTAGTGCCTCAAGAGTTCTTGCCACGTGGTCGAACGGTCAATAAGGAGTATTATCTTGGAATTATGCGCCGCTTGCGACAAGCAATACGAAGAAAACCTTCGATACTGT